TTCCTTCAATTCTGATGCCACATTCTTTATAGAGTGCAGTTTCTCAAACAATCTACTCAATGTACAAATTAAATAGGTATGGAGAAAGGATACAGCCATAATATACACTTTTCTTGCTTTTAAACCGTGCAATGTTCCCTTGTTTTGTTTGGGTAACAGCTCCTCGGACTAGGTCTAAGGTGTCATAGGAGCACAACTAGATGTTCTGGAACTCCCATTCTTCTCAGTATTAGCTATAGCTTGCTATGATCCACACAGTCAAATGCCTTTCCTATGCAAAGGCTTACTTATAGGGACCTACAACAGTGGGCCTGGTGGATATGATGACGGTACGGTAGGCCTGGGCAAGGTTTCAATCTGTTATAGGATCACTATGAGTTGTACCTGGCTTGACAGCACCTAACAGCAGCAACAGTAAAAGGTAAGCCAGGAAAGACGCAAGCTATCCAATTTAAAATGCCAAGCAGAACACAAACCCTGTGACATCAAGCAGGATTTAAATGAGAGTGATGCATCTCAATTACTATCCTTTATCTTTAAACTAGAATTCTCTGGAGGAGCAAAACAAGTGAAGAGCACACATGTATACCTAAATAAATTGCCTTCAAGGAAATGGACCACATGATTGTGGAGGCTAGCTAGTCCCAAAACCATGGCCTACCTGAGGCTTTGCCTGACACTTGTGGTAGGAGGAGCTGACAACACAAGTTCTGCCAGGCGGCAGCCTGCTAGGTCACATGCCAAGAGTCTGAGTTCAGACGGAGTCAATGCATGATAGAGAGAAAACAAGCTTTGCCAGAATATCCACATATGTGGAACCCAGGTCACATCCTCAAGAGAAGTCCTCACCTCCTTTCCTATGACTTCTCACATCAGTTTACAAACTAGAGGAAATGGAGGATGAAATGGCCTAGACCAAATTAACACAGTCTTATTCACCAGAGATGCTGTTGCAAATTTCCCACTTGGGGACTGCCAAAGAAAAATAATGTAATCTTTTCAACACTCTGGCATTACAGTTATTTTCAAGAAGGGGACCCATACATTCACACACCAGGAGTTCCTAGACTGCAGGAATAAGGGAGCCATATAGACAGAAGAGGAAGACAATAAAAGCATAATAGGATTCAGAGGCAACTGGATTAGTAGCCAATTAGAGAAGAAATAGAAGTTTGGTTTTGTGTTTTGTTTGGTTTTGTTTTGTTTGTTGGGTTGTTTTTAAAAAGTGGTGTTTGAAGAGGCCCCTCCAAGTTATGGAGTAGAATGCATAGTGTTGGATAGACAAGTATATGAAATAGTTACGTAACTTGTATTAGTCCAAGATCTGTCCGGGTGCAGCATACAAAGAACTTTCCTCTCTCCAGTTTTCTATCTCTCCTTGTTCAGCTGTATTGTTTGAGCAATGTCCATTCACCCTAAGTGTCACACTTCTTCATACAGTTTTCTCTTCCAAGATAAGCACAGCTGCCTGGTGCCCCTAGAAGCCTACACTACCCCATTTCTCCCCTTCAAATCATGACATCTTAGAACTAGAAAGCTCTTTAATGATATCTAGGACAGTTATCTCCATTGTTGCCTCTCCGGCCCTAATTTTTATTTCAAAATTCCATTCTACCAACTTGATTTTAACTTATAGCAATGCCATGTTTCAGAGCAGAACTATTCCATGTGGTTTCTTGATACTTCTCCAGCCGAGCTGCTGCTGCTGCTTTTCCTCCTTCTTCTCCTCCTCCTCCTCTTCCTCCTCCTCGTCCTCCACTTCCTCCTTCCACTTCTCCCTCCTCCCTTCTTCTTTTTCCTCTTCTTTCCCTTATTTGATAGATCCAAATAGGATCCAAGTGGTGTAGGAGAAAAGTATTGAATATATCGTGGGCTGCCAAAATAACACAGCTGCTTGGTGATTTCAACGTTCCAAACTTCCAGCTTGCAACTAAAAGCTTAGATTGTGCCATCAGAGCTCTTTCTCTTATCCTCAAACTCAAGTCCTATGTGATTCACAGAAGGTCTAAAGGACAGAGCTGGGCTGCCCCACTGGCTCTCCTAGGTTGTAATCTTTATGGAAAGGAGGCATGGCAGTACAGTACCTAAGAGCTTGGATGTTAGCCAACAGGTCTGCAGTTATAACCCACTCCATGGGAGAAGGATGAGAGGCAGTTTGCTTCTATAACGATGTGCAGGCTTAGACATCCATGGGGATGTTCTTTGGTGTCCTGCAGAGTCACTCTGTATCAGAGTCACTTGGTGGAATCTTTAGAGAAGCAGATGCCACATCTTTCTTTCACATTGCAGGTGGTAGAGTCAAACTACTGACCTTTAGGTTAGCAGGTAACTGTTTAACCACTGCATCACCAGGACTCCTTCACTAATCCTTCGGAAAACTCAAACTCACTGCCACTGAGTCAGAGCCAACTCATTGCTGGCCTTCTAGGGGGAGTTTGGAGACTGTAAATCACACAGGAGGAGATTGCTCATCTTTCTCCCTTGGAACAGTAAGTAGATTTGAACCACCTGTCTTTGGATTGGCAACTCAAATCTCTCACAGCTCAGGCACCAGAGCTCCCTACTGTAATCTCTAGAAGGTCTGAAATTACTGACAGTTTGGTTATATTCCGTGACCAGAGGCAGCTAGATGTTTTTGCTTCTGAGTAAACCACTCCCTGCTTTCTGGCTCTCCCATAATTTCCATGAGGACGATCAAAAGAATCTGCTAGAACTGTCAGTCTCTTTCCGATGGGAAACACCTGTTTCAACAAAAGTGGTCCAGTCAGATCTGGAGCAAGTCTGGCTTATTATTGGTTAATTGCTCAACAAGTGGGCAGATTTAAAAAACATTGTTGTGGAATTGTTTTTCAGTCTTTTGCAGACAAATCACCTTGGAATCTTATTAAAATACAGATTCTGGTTCAGTGGATCTGGAGTATTCTGTGTTCATAACAAGCTCCCAGGAGATGCCAAAGCTGCTGGTCCGTGAATCATTCTTTGAAAAGAAACACTGTAGATGATAGTGGAGAATTTCCTAAGTGGTAGAATAATAGATCATTCTATTTTATTTCGTAAACAGTTAAGATCTTCTGATGTATTGGACACAGGATACACAAAAATGGATGAATAACAAAATAGACATTGACCCTCAATGATTTTAATTTTACCACTTTGTGGGGAGAAGAGTACAGAGATTCTAAATATGTAATGTGATAAATGGAGAATATATAGAGAAGCGTTTCTTAGCCTGAGGGTATCATGACCAATACCTGCAGTGGGCAAAAGAAATGCCTTGGAGGATAGACTTACTATAGAATGGACAGAATACACAGAGGTAGAGCCGAGAGACAGTAAAAACATGAAGACCAAAGGAATAAAGGAAGCATTTCAAGGAGAAGTGAATGTCTACATCAAACAGAAAAGTCTCAAGTCACACATTCAGCATACACACAATATATGAGTATATAGTAACTTACCTTAAAGATCCTGCAACAAAAACTCATAAAAATTCATTGTTTCTGTGTCTAAACTAACTCATGGCTGACCTTCCACTGTGCCAGCTGTGTAAAGGATACACAAGGTGACTGCTCATCTTTCTCTCACAGATCAGTGAGTAGACTTGAACTGCCAGAGGGGTACCATCTTTGGGTTTGCCACGCAAGACTATGTCACCAGTGCCCCCTACCAAATACCACCATCTTGTTGTTGTTGTTATGTGCCAATGAGTCACCTGCAACTCATAGCGACCTATGTATAAGAGCCCTACACCCTGCTCTATCCTGTGCCAACCTCACTGTCTCCGACAAACCTACTCCTATTACCCCAATCACTGAATCGATCCATCTCATCGAGGGTCTTCCTCTCTTCCGCTGTCCCTCCACAACCACCATCTTGCACATAAGAAAACTGAGATACTGAGAGGATTGCCCAAAGTCACAGAATCCACTACAAAGCTACATAAATTGACATCTAGCCTGTTACTATGGGCTCTTGAGTCACAACCAACCCATAGAGGACCTTCCAGTGGGTTTTCAGAGGCTGGAAATCCCAGGATAGGAGATGACTCATCTTTCTCTCCCAAAGCAACTGGTGAATTCAAACCATTCACCTTTGAGTTGGCAGTACAACTTCTGTAAATAGCCTAGGCTATTTAAAAAGAAAACTAGGGTACTAGCAAATGGTAGATAGCAATGTGACATATAATATGTTTCTTTATGTAAAGAGCCTATTGGCATCAACTGTTTGGAAGTGATGCTAGGGAGCTCTGGTGGCCTAGTGGTAAGAGGTGGTATTGCAACCCCAAAGGTACACGGTTTGAATCCACTAGCAGCAACATGGGAGAAGGATGGGCAATCTCTTCTTACGTGATTTATTTACTCTGAAAACTTGTTGGAGGGTCAGCTATGGATCAGTCCCAGTTCTACATCACACAGCGACAACAATTGACATCAATTGTTAGAAAGTGATGTTAACGTGTATTGTGTACACTTCCTGTTCTAAACATTCTGCTAGGCCCTTCTGTTTGCATCACCTTGTTCTATCCACAAATGAATCCCAAGAAGCAGGTAAGTAATACTGGTGCCATTTTTATGGAAAAAATTCTAGTGCTGTATGTGAGAGAGATGCCCCAAACCCACCAACCACCATCAAGTTGATTCTGATTCATGATGACCTAAGTGACCTAACAGGACATTCATAATGACCTGGTGCAAAACTGTTCATTGAAAAAAGTAATTGTAGGATATCTGGACAATAAGATTTAGTGAAACATCAAGACATCAAGTCATATGTCTTCCTGTACCCTGTGTTGTTCTTTTTCTGGCAAGTAAAATCTAAGGGACTTGTAAGATTCTTCTAAGAACAGTCTAAAGGAACATTAATAACACATGTTTGTATTATAATTAGACATAGATCAGGAAAGGCTCGCAGTGATTTCGGGGAATGAACGTGTTACTTCAAGTTCTGTTTATAGCGTTTAGATGACTAGATTTCACTGATTCTATGTTGTGCAAATGTAGTTTGAGGCCGACAGACGTGCTTTTATCATCACTCTTAACTCCTTTGGCACTGAACTGACCAAGGATGACCGGGAGTCCCTGTTCCCAACCTGTGGCAAGCTCTATCCAGAAGGTCTTCGCCTGCTGGCTCAGGTAGACGATTTCGAACAGATGAAGAGAGTTGCAGATCATTACAGTGTATGTATTTATTCCTATTCCCTAACCTTGTGCTAATCCCCAAACTCGAGCCAGATTTCATCACCTGTACTTTAGGAGCTCAAACATTAAATTTACACTTCTTATCCAAAGTGGGTACAGTGTTTTTACTAATAGCTCCCAAAGAAATATTTCAAGTTCCTCTCCTAAGCTGGTGGTTTTAAATGAAAGGTTCCTGCCAAGTAAGTACTTGTTTAATTCTCCAAGGAGTGGTCATTGAGTACCTCTTTTGAAGTGCTTGATAATGCAAGTTTCCCCAGAGACTGTTACAGTATTTTGGAAATAGAAGCTCAGAGTTATGTAAAATCTCCTGATCTAGCAGCCCTTTCAAATGGAGATTGGGTAAACAGGGAGAGTGTGGACCTGGGACTGCTGTGCCACTCCCTTTGCTGAGTGGCCAGAATAGGAGGAGGAAGTAGAGCTGTCCATGGGTTTCCCCTCCACCAGCAGCCAGCCAGCAGCTCTTGGAAAGTCTGGAGCCTCTGAGCTCAAGATTATGCACTATTTAGATAGTAATGTTTGTTCCCTCCAGGTAACTTCTCCAAACTGCAAAGCCAATCTCCTCTCTCTCTGTCTATTTCTGAAACCCTTCAGGAAAAGATAAGGAACTCTGGTGATGTAGTGTACTGGTAACCAGAAACCAGAAGGTCAGGGGTTCCAGTCTACCAGGTGATCTACAGGAGGTCAATGGGCAGTCTCCTCCTATAAAGACTTACAGCCTCAGAAACTCAATGGAGGCTCTCTATGAGTTAAATTCCACTCTACGTCACTGAGTTGGGCCAGGAAAGAGAACTAGTAATCAGCTGTTTCTGAGTCACCTCAGACACATGTGACCTCAAGGGTGTCAAAACTCAATGGAGTTTCATGGACAGATTTTATTTTTTTTTCTGGAGGATATTGTAAGGTAACTCAGAGTATACGCAAATACCAACATTTCTGCTTGCAGTTTTTAACAAGTGGTTGTTGTTGTTGTTGTTATGTGTTGTTGAGTCACTTGTAGCTTACAGAGACCCTATGTACAACACCTCTGAAACTTGCTCTATCCTGAGCAAACCTCCTTGTTTCTGACACAACTACTTGCATTACTCCAGTCACTGAGTCAATCTACCTCATACAGGGTCTTCCTCTCTCGTGCTGTCCCTCCACCCTTTCAAGCATCATGTCACTCTCCAAGGACTGGTCCCTCCTTGCAACATGCTCAAAGTATGTCAGATGGAACTTCAAAATCCTTGCCTCACAGGTGCAGACTGGTTGCATCCTCTCTAGGGTAGACCTATTTGTTCTCCTAGCAGTCCATGGTATATTCAATACTCTTCTCCAGCACCACAGTTCAAAGGCATCACTTCTCCTATAATCCTTATTAATTGTCCAGATCTTTGATGCATAGCAAGAAACTGTAAAGACCATGGTCTGGATCAGGCACACCATAGTCTCTAGACTGCCATCGTTGCTCTTCAGTACTCTGGAGAGGTCCCTGGCAGCAGATTTTCCCAATGCAATTCATCTTTTGATTTCCTGGGTGCTGGTGGTACCAAGAGTGCTGATTGTGCAGACGAGCAAGCTAAAGTTGTTAACAATCTCACCAGCCTAAAAACTTCACAGGGAAGATGTTGGTTTTGAGTACTGTTGAGTCAGAGCAGACCCATAGCTGAACCTCCTGTGCGATTTCAGAGGCAGTTAATCACTCTGGAGGAGACTGCCCATCCTTCTCCTTGAAGAGGAGCTGTGTGCTTTCAGGATTGCTGCATAGTTTCTTACCACTAGGCCACCAGAGTTCCCTTTCCTTTCACAGAAAATATAGAGGACAGCAAATATATGTCTATGAAAGACATATAAACCTTTTTAATATATGTGATTGCATGAGATTTCTAGTATCTTCTATTTCCTTGAGGAAATGAAAAAGAAAAAAAAATCCCAGTGACAAGAATATGAATGATAGCCTACTGGGTGCTCTGGGGGTGTAGTCCATAGCAGGCTGCACTGCTAACATCAAATCCACCAGCGGCTCCACAAGAGAAAGATGGACAGTCTCCTCCCGTACAATTTATAGCCTGGGAAGCCTCCTGGAGGGCCAACTATCATTGGGTTCCAACTCTACTGTAATGACAGAGAGAGAAGTTCATTCATTCAGGTTCCAAGAGGCAAGAGGCAAAAACTGTTCTACAAGGTGTATACCAATTTCCAAATTCAGGTTCTTGGGGCAAATCAGGAACATTTTTGAGATCCCATGCTTATGGTTTGTGAGGGATGGCATATACTTTTAAATAGATGATACAATGTTTATATTGTTAGGAAAACTTGTCATACACATTTATGAGCGATGAAAATTTCTTGAAAACTAATCTCCTTTCTTTGATTTTAAGGAATACAAGCCTTTGTTCGATGCTGCAGGTGATGGCAATGGGGGAAAGACATTGGAAGATACGTTTTATGAGCATGAGGTAACCCACAATTGGAAATGCTACTAACCTGATTATGTTCTTTTTCTCTTACTTTGAATTTTAATTGTTGTCTTACTTTGGGTTTTCATTTTTACAGCTGATTAGGTCAATTCATTAGGCCCATTGCTAATTTGACCAAGCATCCAGCAACTCAAACTCAAATTTGAATCCATTCACAGTTGGCCCTGCAGCAAGTTTTTGAGGTTATAAATCTCACAGGAGGGATTGCCAGTCTTTCTCCCTTGGAGTCACTGATGGGTTTCAACTGCCTTTGGGTTGTCAACTCAACTCCCTATGGACAAGAGGACACCAGAGCGCCCCTTTAGAGAGACAAAGTATCACATATGTAGCTTCCAGGGCAGTTGCCCCACTCAGACCAATGTGTATATATGCACAGAGAAGCTCTGAAAGGAATGCAACTATTCAACAATTTTATTAGGGCAGGCTTCATAATCAGATACTAATTACAGCTATGGCATACACACACACTTAGTAGGCGAATCTGCTCTGTTCTTCCTTCAAGAAGGGGGCCAAACCATGGTCATAATAGTACAATTATTACTCTTGGGAATTACTTGCATACTAATCCACTGGTGGCATAGTCTACAGAGAGTTTCCCTGCTTACTCCAAGGTCAAGTCTCTATGGTGGCTCGAATCCACCAGCAACTCAGAGGAAGAAAGGTGGACAAACTCCCATGAGATCTATTGTCTCAGAAACTTGCTGGAAGGTCATCTATTGAGTAGATTCTGACTCAATGGCGATGAGATTGAGTTTAACCTACTTGAGTCCAATTTTTTCTGTTTCTCTAGGAAAGCCAAGAGAATATTTAAATCACTGATAGTTCATCTCTGAACCAGTCAAATGCCAAATAGATACTACCAGAAAGTTAAAGATGCATGGAAAGTTCTCCTAGAAATTTGGATGCTAGTATCTTCTGATTGTACTAAGCTTATTTTTTTTGGGGGGGGTTGTTGTTGTTTCTTTTTTTAATTTTAATAATTTTAATGAGCATTTACGGAGATTTTGGATTTCCATTCATTCATTCGCTCCTCTCTTTCAAAAGTAAAAGAAACACTCCTTCCCTGGTACACAATCCCCCCGCACCCCCCCCACTGCCCCAAGTACATTCCACTATGCAACCTTAATTGTGGACTCCTGTGATAACTGTAAGACCCTATCATACATCGCTTTTAAATTAAGCTTATTTTTAAAGTACAGTTAACTGAACATTTATTTGCTGATTGATACTCTCCATTGTTGTTGTTATTAGGTGCCATCGAGTTGAGTACGACTCTTAGTGACCCCATCAACAACAAAACCGAATCCTGTCCTATACCATGCCATTCTCTGACTCTCCAAAACCCTCAAGTCTATTGCTGCAGTTACTGTATCAATCCACCTGGTTGAGGGTCTTCCTCTCCTTCACAATCCCTCCACCTTCCCAAGTCTCGTGAATATCCTATGGACTATCAAAAGAATACTCTCCCTTAGCACTTGCCAAATTGTCTCTGCTTTCCTCTCTTTGGCCCAACTTAGGTATTGTCTACTTAACTAGGTTATTCCTTGGAAAAGGACATCATGCTTGGAAATGTAGAAGAGAAGAAGATCCTCAAGGATGTGTGTTGACACAGTGGTTGCAGTAACGGGATCAAGTATATCAGATGGCCCAGGATAGGACAGGCTTTAGATCTGTTGTCCAGAGTCTACATGAGTCATACTCAACCTCATGGAACAATATATATGGGAGGAAGTTCTAGTGGCCTGCCCAAAGTCAGGTGATTTGAATGTACCTTCTGGTCCTCAGAAGAAAGATGTGCAATATATGTGAGGGTCAGCTATGAGTCAATTTCAACTCAGCAGCAATAAACAATTTAAATAGACATGAGCATGACCCAAGTAGATGAATTGCAAGCTGCACTTTACTATTACTTCATGAATGTAATGTAATACAAACAGCTGATGTTATGTTTTTTCCCCTTCCTCAGGTCCAGATGAATGTGCTGGCATTCAACAGGCAATTCCATTATGGTGTGTTCTATGCATACATAAAACTGAGGGAGCAAGAAATGAGGAATATCGTGTGGATAGCAGAATGCATTTCACAGAGACATCGAGCGAAAATCAACAGTTACATTCCCATTTTATAACCCAAGAGAGCGCCTCAAATACAGAAACTGAAAAATTTTGGAAGGAAGTTAGGAAAAGAAAATAAATTTGTTGCATTATCTAAGATGCACAAAAGTAAACCACTCTGTACCTTCCATAAATTGCACAGTCATTGGAAATACAATAAAGCAAACCAGAAACAAAGCGTTTTGGGGTTGTTTTTTTTTCCCCTCTAGTAGTCTCCAATCTTGTTTCCCCACTTACTCTTCACTGGCCCTTTCATTCTAATTCTACTTATCTCTTACTTTGTCCATTCTTGTTAGCCCATGTTTAAACTTGGGAAACTAATACGTCTAAGTGTCGTACTCTTTCATTTCCATGCAGCCCCATAGACTTAAATGGTTGACTTTTTTACCTATAACTCCCCTATGTTCAGGAAATCCAAGGTGGACCACATCTAATGAGAAATGTTGTTGTTTTTTGGTTTTGGTTGGTGGTTCTTTTTTGGGGTTTTATTGTTTGGTTGGTTGGTTTTTGCCTAGTAAGCTTGGATTTCATAAGTTTGAGAAAGATACATAATTCCAAATATATGCTTTACATATAAGTTGTGTGAAGTCTGTTATTCAGGCTGTCATTTATGTATAAAGCAATCTAATGCTACTCTAACATAGATACCAGAAGTGGGTGATGTTAACAAGTGGAAATTTACTGTTACAATTTTGGAGACTCGAAGTTCAAATTCAAGGTTCTAGCCCTAAAGGAGGGAGCTCTGGTGGTATATCGTGGTCAGAAGTTGAACTGCCAACCCAAAGGCAATCAATTCAAATTCCCCAGCTCCTCCATGGGAGAAAAATGGGCAGTTTCCTCCTGTGTGCTTTTATAACTTCTGAAAACCCTCTAGAGGATCAGCTATGGATTGGTTTTATGGTCAAAATCAACAACAGCTCTAAGGGAAAGGTCACTGTGTTGGAGGAGGGAAGTCCTTGTTCTTTCAGCGTCTGTAGGCCCTGCATTCTCTAGAGGCCTCCCTGTGTTCAAGCCTTAACTAGAGCCAAGAGACTCCATCTCACAGGGGCTTGGGTCCAAAAAGAAGCGCTCCACTCATTAGTGGTACTGAGGACCCCCCCCCATCTCAGCTTGCTTTCTTCCCCTTCTAAGGCTAGTAAAATAAAAGGCATTACAGGCCACACCCTAGAAGAACTCCCTTCTATCCAATTAGAGTTGATGTGATTAAGAGTGTTGCATTCCACTCTCAATCCTACTACAACTATTTGGTTTATGAGACAATGAGAGATTGTTACATGACTAAAACATTACATCATTATATGCATATATTTTTGTACAAAATAATTCAATCCATGACAAGTAGTTTCCACAATGTTGAGTGTGTATGTGTGTGTTGTTTGTTGTTGTTATGTGCCTTCGAGTTGCTTGCAACTCATAGCAACCCTATGTACAGCAGTGCTAAACCCTCTTCTATCCTGTGTCAATTACATTGTCTCTGACAAACCTACCACAATTATCCCAGTCACTGAATAATCAATCCACCTCATAGAGGGTCTTTCTCTCCTGTGCTGTCCCTCTACCCTCTCAAGCATAACGTCCCTCTCCAAGAATTGATCCCTCCTTGCAACATGTCCATAATATGTCAGATGAAGCTTCAGAATCCTTGCCTCCAAGGAGCAACCACATTTAACCCTCTCTAGGACGAACCTGTTCATTTTCTTAGCAGTCCATGGTAAATTCAATACTCATTCTTCTCCAACACCACAGCTCAAAGGCATCAATTCTAATTCTGTCATCCCTCGTCATTGTCCAGCTCTCTGACGCATAGGCGGGGGGAGAGATCCTGTAGTTACTTTACTTTTTACTCTTTGAAAGGGAGAGGAGGCAGGGGGACAAACATTGTTAATTCCATATCATTTATATAGAAGTATAAATCAATCATAGGTATATATCATACGGGTTGTGTTTGAAAAAGTAGAAATACCTTTATGTTAATGTATTTTAAACGTGTTGTTATTGTTGCTATCTGCCGTCGAGTCGTTTGCGACTCATAGCAACCCTATGTACAACAGTCCTAAACCCTGCTCTATGTCTTGCCAATCTTATTGTCTCTGACACACTTCTCCCCAATACCCCAGTGGCAGAATCAATCCATCTTATCGAGGGTCGTCCTCTCCTGCACCCTTCCTCCACCCTCCCAAGTATGAAGTCCCTCTCTAAGGACTGATTTCACCTTGCAACATGTCCAAATTATGTCAGACAAAGCTTCAGAATCCTTGACTCCAAGGAGCAGCCTGGCTTCACCCTCTACAAGACAAACTTCTAGCAGTCCATGGTATATTCAATACTCCAGCACCACAGCTCAAAGGCATCAACTCTCCTTCTATCATCCCTAGTCGTTGTCCAGCTCTCTGATATATAGCAAGTAATGGCAAAGATCATGGCCTGTATCAAGTGCACCTTAGTCTCCAGACTGGCATCATTGCTCCTCAGTACCTTGGAGAGGTCTCTGACAGCAGACTTTCCCAGTGTAATTCATCTTTTAATTTCCTGGCTGCTGATACCAAGAGTGCTGACTATAGAGCCAAGCAAACTGAAGCTGTCAATAATTTCAGTCTCTTCACTATCTATCATGGTGCTGCCAATTGGCCCAGTGGTGAGAAACTTTGTTTGCTTGATGTTGAGCTTCAATCCATATTAAAGGCTGCAGTCCTTGACCTTCTGTAGCAAGCACTTCAGGTCCTCCTCAGTTTCAGCAAGCACAGTTGTGTCATCTGCATAATGCAGATTGTTGATGAGTCTACCTCCAATCCTGATGTCACACTTCGCCTCATGAACCCAACCTCCTGGATAATCTGTTCCGCATATGGATTGAAAAGATATGGAGATAGGGCACATCTTTGATGCACACCCTTCCCAATTTTTAGGCATGCTGTGTTTCCTTGCCCTATGGCTCACTTCACCTCTAGCTGGGTAGCTCTGGCCATATCTAAGTTCTGAGAAAGTATTCTTGCAGACAACTTGGATCAAAGACCTTTTCTAGGCACTAGAATGAGTGCCCAAAGCTTCCTCTCTTGACTTGTTCTTGGTTCCTTCAAGGGGCCACTCACTGTTCCACATCCTGAGACCTGGATCACGAGGTCCCTGGGTCTTATATTACCGCTGATGACCATAATGAGGATTTAAAGCTTAGGAGCTTCATTGAAGGTAGTTGCTGGTGGGAAAGGAGTAGGATGGAGAAAGATATGAGATGATTCTCAGACTGATCCCCACTCCCACCCTAACTCTGCATGATTTAGGTCAAGTCAGAAAGCTTGATGCCTTTGAAATATGGTGTCGGCAAAGAGTACTGAATATACAACTTACTGCCAGAAGAACAAACAAATATGTCTTGGAGGAAGGGTAGGTGAATGCTCCTTGGAAAAAAGATGGCAAGACTTGGTCTCACATACTTTGCACATGTTATCAGGAGGGGCCAGACCCCGAAGAAGGACATCATGCTAGATAAAGTAATGGCTGTTGTTGCTATGTGCCATCAAGCCATAGCAACCCTATGAACAACAGATTGGAACCTTGCCCTGTCCTGTGCCACCCTCACATTCTCTGCCACGCTTAAGCCCATTGTTACAGTCACTTGTATCGGTCCATCTTATTGTGAGGGTCTTCTTTCACTTCCTTGACTTTATCTTTCCCAGCATGATGTCTTTTTCCAAGGACAGGTCCTTCCTGATGACAACAACAACAAACATATTATCGAGGTAAAATAGAAGATCAGAAAAAAAGCAAACCTTCAATGAGGTGAGTTGACACAGTGACTGCAACTATGGACTCAGCCACAGGACTAATTGTGAGGATGACACAGGTTCAGACACTATTTCCCTCTGTTATACATAGGGTTACCATGACAGCACAAAATCTAACAACAACAAGGCTATAGGAGGAAGTTACAACTTTCCCCTTCCCCCTTAAGATGAAAGATGAAGGATGTAATCCTCCATGCTCGCCTCTGCAGGCCCCTCTAAGAATCTGAAAATATAAGACTATAGAAGAGGGAAAACAAACCTCACATAGAAAGCAAACAGCATGGGCCCCTATTAGTGATGGCGCACACATTGCAAGCTTGAAGCACTGCAAGTCTCAGAGCCATTAAGTGACTGTGCTGGTCTCTGAATTCAGGTTTCAGCTGTCGTGCCTCAGGGAAAGAGTCTACAGTGGAGGGTGACAGACTTTTAGGAAAAAATTTCTTTTCTATAAAATGAGGTCCAAAGGTTAGGTATATATAAAAAAGTGGGGATAGTGAAGCGAAAGCATATTCTTCGTTCTGTGTAATTGAAACAGAGACTTTTATCATCCCTTCCCTGCTCCCACAACATATCAATTCCTTCTGGCATTTCATTAAGCCCTCGAATTTTCAGCTCTCTTTTCTGCTGCATTGGGTCATAGAACATTGTTTTCATCAATTCCGGTTCCCAGACTCCCTCTCAGTATTCAGTTAATCCTGCTTCGACAGTCCAGAGTCTTTCAGCCCCTCCCACTTTATCCATTCTTGCTCCTTAATATTTTCATTGTAATTTTGCATAGTGTTCCTTCTGTCTATCCAAAAGCAGACATGTTCAGATCTCACACAGTTTTGTAGTCTTGGGAGAATTTAGGGTGCTCTCTCATTGCCTTTGAGTCAGAACTGACCATAGCTGACCCTGTGGGGTTCTGAGCTATAAATAAAATGGAAGGAGATTGCCAATCTTCCTTCTTTAGATGAACTGCTAGAAAGTCATGGCCTTTGTGTTATAACAGTGCAGCTCCTTATAGAATGGGCCACGAGAGTTCCTTTTTGGTGCAGGCAGTTCAAGTCCCCCAGCAGCCTCATGGGAGAAAGACAGGCAGTCTCTTTCTGTGTGATTTACAGCCTCTGAAAATACACTGGAGGGACAGCTATGAGTCAGTTCTGCCTTGATGACAATGAGTTACTTTTGTTGTTTTTGAAATGGGGTATTAAAGAGCCCTGGTCATGAGCCCTGGTCACATAGTAGGTTAT